ATTTTATTAAGTAAAAATTGTTCAGAATATCAAATTATATATATTTTAAAATTTTTATATAATTATAATAATTTATTATTTTATCTTTACTTTTTATTATTATTAAATAAAATTTATAAAAAAGTTTTAATTGATTTTTTAAATATAAATTACAAAAACATATTAGTAAAAGTTATTTGATTTGTATAAAATTTTTAAAATATATATATTTTGATTTTATAAATAATTTTACTTACTAAATATAATCGATTTATTAGTAAAATTTTAATTTTACTATATAAAAACAAAATATAAAAATTAAAAAATACTAAAATTATTTTTTTGATATTTTTAATATAAATATATTAAAAACAAAATTTTGGTTATCAAAAAGTACAAAAATATATGTTTGTTGCTTTGTTCTAGATAATAATTGGTATAATTTAAAAAAATTCAAAAAAGTTATTAATTTTTAAATTAAATTAAGAAATTAGATTGTATTATAATTGAATTATAATTTTTATCATATAAATAAGAAGTTTATAGGTAGAGTAACTTAGTAAAATAGTTAAAATATTACTTTTTTAATGATTGGTTGGAACAGAATCTTTGTAATTTTGATGATACTAACAAGATTAGAAGATCATAAATATTCATGCAATATATATATTATATAAAGACATACAAGCCAGTATTAGACAGTACAAACCCAAGATAAGTTCTTGTGATTATGCAAACTTAGAGAACTAAAAAAATAAATATTTGTTTGACAAGACCCAAGTAGACAGATAATACAAACTTTTAATAGTAACTAATAAAATAGGCTTCACTTGAGATTAGTTAATTAAATAAGACAAGAGTACCAACAAGTTGCTTTATCAATTAGGCTACCAAAGTATTAACTAAAAGAAAACGATTAACAAATATCATAAGATTAGTATTTTTTCAGGTTATTTGGATTAATAATCTGAAAACTAGCTAGAGAATACTAAAAGAAAAAATATCAAGTTATCTTGAAGAGATGACACTAGAGTTTGAATAAATTCTACAAAAGCACAGAGTAGATAATAATAATAGTTTCAGCAAATACTTATTTTTGAACTTAGTATAAGTTATTAAAAAAACCAGATATTATAGTAATAGTAAATACTAAACTGCTTTTACAAATAATATACTCGAGGGTGTGCCAGAAATAGTTGTTCTATAGATAGTATATAATGATTTGAAGAATATAAAATGATTTATATACTTTATATGCTAAATAAGATTAGGTTAGATTGATATGAGAAGTTCAAGATTAGAGGGTTTAAATAGAGAATCTATAGGCAAATCTTAAATATAGCATATAGAGAATAATTATAATAATATTGTAAAGCTCTTAAATAAACAATAATTAAAATTGTATATATCTATATATATTTTGTTAAATATATTATGTTTAAGACTCTTGAAGGCACCAGTGATCTTTTGTATATCTAATAAAAACATTAAGCTAAAGAAAATAACCTTTGATTATAAAAAAATAAAAAATAAAAAAATAAAAAATTTATATAATATAATTTTATTTTTGTATTTTTTAATCAAATAATATATTTTTATTTTTGTATTTAAAAGATTATTAAGTTTTTATGTATTTATACAATACTTATTTTTAATAATCTCAAATTATATTTAATAGTCTTTAAAATAAAGACCTATATAGATCAAAAAAATTTATAATAATAAAAAAAAGCCAATATTTATTACATAAATATAACCTTTTAGAGTCAGATATTTGATACAATTACAAGTTCTAAAATAATTAATTGTTTGATAATTGCAAGCTTTAAAATAACTAATAATATAAAATTTACAATATAATTACTTAGAACTTGTAATTGTCAAATAGCTAACTTTGAAAAAGATTATACAGTATTTATATATATAATAAGTATTAGCTTTTTAACATAGAGCCAAATCTATTAAATATATAAAAAATGTGATCCAGATATTTGTAAGCTTTATAATCTGTATACAGATTTATATTTATTATGATTTTGAGCTATATACTAAATTTGGCCACTCTATATATTAAATTGACTATGTTAAATTAATAATTTGACTATATATATATATAATATAAATTAAATTTTATTTGTTGAGGACTAGGTTGTCCGCACTGTAAGTTTATATATAAAATAGATAATTAAAAAAAAAAATTTTTAAGTTAAAATCTTGTAGCCGCGTAGGGTTCTTTTCAGAAATACGTACTTTTTTACTTAATTTAGCAAAAAATTTAAAAGAAAATACGTAACATTCTATATATCCTATTTTTAGACCGGTCCGGACTAGTCTCAGGACCGGGGACCGGTTAACTGTTGAACTGGTTAAAAAGACCGATCCTTATTCGGTCTTTCCGGGGCTGATCCATGCATCACGATCAATGAAGATATTTATAGAATTAAATGCTTGAGCATACTCTCTATTTTTCGTGATCTACGTTATGCCAACTAAAACACCTTAAAAAAATTTCTATTCAACCGGTTGTCAAAGCTTTAACTTTTGCTGCGTCGGCTTCTCGTTTTAATGGTTTTACCAATTTAAATAGCGAAAGTTGTATTTTACAGCAACAAGAAATAAAAACTTTTTTCTTGCGAATCTTATTTAAATTTTATTGTGCGAAAAATGGAATAGCAGAATTCATTATGGTTTGATTAAATGTTTAAAGTTGGTGTATTTATTGCGATTATGTCAAAGGTATCGATTATTTTATTTTAAAACTCCTAGAATTAAAAAATAAATGGCTATTTTTTCATATCAATTAGAAATTTGTTATTCATTGTTTATTATGGGTGCTCTCAAGCATCTAAATCAATAGGTCCGAGTTCAATTTTTAATTAGTGGAAAATAAATTATTGGTCAAGCGAGTTCATTATCGCGATGAAAAAAAAAGATGGTCAGAGACCATCTTTTTTTATCATAAAGTTGTGTTGATTGGCTAAAATTTAATATCCGCGTTTCGCAACGTGAATCTTCGACAAAATTACCGTAAGGTTTACTTCAATCAATCGTAGTACTTGTGCACGATCTCTATAGCTAGCTAATTACACCGAGAGAGATGCTTGAGAGCACCCTATGTTTGATATGTAAAAAATTAAAAGTAATGCTTAAGTGACCTTTATCAATAGTAAATTTTTTAAGAAAAAAAGATGGTTTGTAGCTCGCTGATCTGTTCATCGCAATAATAGCTCACTTGGTTAATTTATTCAATTTCCGAAACTCCGATTCATTGAGTGAGGTGCGGTGATTAGGTAAGCTGCCAAATAACGAAGTTATTTGGCAGATGACGTAATCACTGCCAAAAAAACGTTATTTAGCAAGCACAATCATCGTAAACCACCGGAAAACACCGATATTGTATGCTACGCAACCAATAACCTGTTTAACTGACAGCGAATTTAAAATGTCATTTCTGGGGCCCAGAAGTGCGTGAGAGTGAAAACCTGGAAATAGATTGAATGATTTACTATGATTGGTTACAGGTTTTACTCTCACGCACTCACATATTAAATTTCACAGCCTGATGATGAACTATTTTACAAATAATTCCCGTTATTGGCTGCTTCGCATCCAATAACTAAATATCATATGCAAATGACCCAAATGGTCTGGCCATTATTTGATAACTCGGGGTCATTTAAATTTTGATCAAATGACCAGGTCTCTGTTAAATAGTGGTTGGCGTATTAATACGTAGTTTAGTATCACAGAATTTTAATTTTTGGAAATTAAATATATATCTTACTGTAAATTTTACAAATGCGCCTTAATCTTGTCGCTACAACTCACTCTCGTTATAGTGAAATCGTTGAGCTGAAAAAAAAAAAATTCTTCACCATAGTTATATCGAGAAAATACATACGTATGTACTTAACTATATCTAGTTGAAGTTTAATAATTTCGTAATTCACCTTTTATTATTATTAAACCATCAAAATTTACTACGTAATTCAATTATCTTTTTCATTATCGTTATGTCAATTAATTCAATTAATTCAATTAATACAGTCAGACCTTCTTAAGTGCACCTCCCTCGGGACTCGATGTGTGCACTTAGAAAGGGTTAGAAAGTGTTAGAAAGTGTGTGTATTTATAAAATATATAGACTCTTATAAGCTGAAACCGAGCTATATCACGTATTTAGAGAGAATTTATAAAGAGCGTGCATTTATAGAGTGTGCACTTAGAGAGGTCTGACTGTACTACCTTTATATAAAAATAATTATATAATTGATAATGATATTAATTTAATATACTATATCACTTACATGCTTCTCCATTACATGAAATTAAAAGCTTTATGCTATTACATTTATATATATATATATATCTACTTTTCAACTTTCACTTACTAAATTAAGTTTACTTCATATAAATCTAAATAGAATTGTTTATTTTATAAATCAATCTTTTTTCATTTACTAAAAACTTCCAGCTTATTTGCATTGAAACCCTTGTTTGCCCATATATAGATTTGGCGGGTATCAAATTCAAATTACGTACATATATTATTACTATTCAAGCGAACGAAATTTGCGAAAAAGAAACGTGTTTTCTCCGGAACCTGTTATGCCATTTGTATGACATTTAATTTCCACCAATCATTGCTTTGTTACATGGTGCGTGAATAAAATTAAAAATTCAAAATACTTAAGTCTCTTAACGTTAAGCCAAACTCTTTTCGGTTATTAGAAAATTTTACTCTACCGTTTCTCTTGGCTAACTTAAAACTTTGTTCGTCCGTTTTACCCATATGTGAACACCTGTGCGACTGTATTTCATTTTGTAGCATTAGGAGTTGATGCTTTTAATTATAGTCTTGGGAACGAAAATTTTACGCGACAGCAATAAAAAGAGCAGAAACAAAAGAACTATATTTTTTTTCTTTCTTTTTTTTTTCTTTTTTTTTTTTTTTTTTACGACCTTTATACTTCCAAGTGTTCACTATCGGACAAATAATATAGCGGCTGTGATGCAGCAACATGAATCAAGTGTCTCAATCCATGATTGAAGTTCCAGAACGGTTTGACCAGGTTGACATTAATCATTTAATGCACATGATCGGTTTGTTTCTTATCTAACGTGGTTTACTATACCGTTATTGTGTCCATGCTCATATTAATATTAATCGCTTTTTTTTGAAAATCCTTAATTTAGCTGATATGTTATGCCGTTTAATTGCACATAATGATCAAATTCCTTTATCAACTGCCAACCGATGAGTTTCAAGAATTCCAGTTCTAAAGTGTTCAGCTCTTGTGTAGATATCCCCCCACCTCTTGCCTAATGTGTATTTGTACAGTAGGAATCGCACAATGCTTTAGATGATACTGTGACCGCAGCAATAATGAATCGATGTACAGTCAGTGAGGTTATCGTGAATGCGTTATTTTCGCACACTCGATCTATGTATAACAGAAGTATCAAGAGACAAGATCTTTCCAAGGATGTATATTTTACTATACGACGAAGGTA